TGCGCGTAAAAAGAAAAGAAGGGAGAGAAAAGGGCTGGTCCAGCTTTAGCTTTGGGCTAGAAAAGGAGGGAGAGGTTGATTTTGCAAACTTTCCCAAATTCAAAGAAAGTTTGAAATCAAACCACTCAACACTATTCTTACAATCAAACAAAATATTGTGCACTAGGATGAATGTAACAAAAATGTTTCTAAAGCGTTATATTTATTTTTTAATATTTATATGAATTATTATTTGGTCTAACTGAATCATGGAAAATTAAATTAAATAAAAAAATTATTGCTATATGCAATGTTTTCCTAAACAGTAAACGGTCTTTACATGGTCGCCCTTCATTTAGCGTTTAGGCTGTTTACACAGTGTTTAAACGAAGTTAAGCGGTCTAAACGGTTTTATACTTTTTAAAAAAATACATATAATTATATATGTGCATGTATAAAATCAAGTATTCTAGCATTTATACATATTTATCCGAGTAAAAATTAATTATTTTGGTATGTATATATATTTATGCATGTGAAAAGAACCAAATATAGATATTTATGCATGTAACATATCAAGTGTACATATTTATAAATATAATAAACTTAAGTATACAAATTTATCCATACAAAACTGAACTAGATTTATCTCATGTTCACCTAAACGGCCGTTTAAAAAGCTGTTTAGCCCGTTTAATGTTGTTTATCTCCGTTCCGTTTATGCCTTTTTCCCGTTTTTTGACTGTTTAAACGATCAACCGTTTAATTTCCGTTTATCCCCTAAACAAAACAGTTTACCACTGTTTATCGTTTAATGGCCGTTTAAACGGCCGTTTAATCCATTTAGGCGAACACTAGCTATATGGGAAAATGATTGTTAGGGTGTTACAGTCCATGGCCACTGGCCACTGCAGAGCGTGGCATGTTTCTTCAGCAATAAACGGAAATAGTTCCCAAAACAATCCAAACAAATTGTGTCATCCGTTCCCCTGCAATAGGGGGGCCTTTGGTAGAGCTCCCGGGACAGCTCTGGGAGCTGTTTTGTGGCTCTTGCAACCAAACTGGTTCAGGTAGAATAGTTTCGGCATCGAATCTCCTCAAAACGCGCTGAGACAAGCATGCGGGAGTAGGAGCCAAGAGAAGTAGTTGGACTCACTAGTTGGATGTCAATGCCCTCGGGTCCACTCCTTGTAGATCTCCTTCCTCCTCACGCGCTCATGGCCATCCCTTTCGCGGAGGAGCTCGACGGTGGTAGGGGCATCGGCAACGGTAGGGGCGATTCAGCGACAGTAGGGGCTGGGCACGGGGGCACGACCATGGGTGGCGACGTAGACCCTTGGCATGGCCCTCAGCGGCGAGGCGGGCTCCTAGAGGTGGCGTGGGGCCGGGCGAGGCGGAGTTGTGGGCTACGGCACTTGGCCACCGATGATGGGGCTGAGAAGGCCAGCTGTGGAGTTCCGGCGTGGGAAGAAGGAAGGAAGAGGATAGGTCGCACATGCGTGCCGGTGAGGAGCGTGGACCGCGGGAGCTGATGAATAGGAGGGGTCCAACACAACTGGGGTGGAGGATTTGCCAAACGGTAAAAAATAGATTTAGCTTCCCAAGTGAATCTGCTCCACCGATGAAGCCATAACTAAAGCTATTTTGGCTGGAGTTAGAACTCTACCAAACGGGTGGTACATTCAGGTTAACATTTGTTTTTTCTCGATCACGCAAAAGGTTTCCGCATCTTTGTATTAAGGTAGAGAAAATTTTTAATACAACACGCCTTAACGACACCCTAGGTGGTCAGAAGAGTAGTACATGGACGCTCGACCCTCTGTAGTGTACTGAAAGCTATGATGTTGCATTAGATACTGATCAACCCGACTTGCGGTGGCGGCGCTGCTTGCGCGCACCCACGTAATTGTCCTGTGGGAACAACTCACGTAGCGCCTGCATATTTTTGGGGTCACCGCCATAGATTTCATCATATGCCTTTAGGGCCGACGTCGACGGTGATGACATCCTGCTAGTGAGTCCTAGACGCTTCAAGACAAGGTGCTCACCTTGCTTGAACACTGGGATATGTGATATGCTCTGCGCCGCTATCTGCCTGCTCCTCTTGGGTAGCGCGGGCGGTGTATGTCTAGCGTGGGCCATATCAACTCCAGGCAGCTCTAGGAGTGGTGGCTGTCTCACCTTTGTGACTCCCTCGGTTAAGCAATTGAGGCGTCTATCGGCGAAGGTCGTCTGAGGGGGTGGAGTGCGGCTGGCGGCATCTCCCAAGGTGGCTGCCCTGACCAGCGCTGGGTCAGGGCGTGTCTCCACATCCATGATGCCAGGCTGTCACCCCCATGGCGGCGTGCCTTGTGGCAGCCCGTGCACTGGCAACATTGTAGGAGAGACCATCGTGCACTGGGCATCCTTTGCCGGAGAGCGCGTGTCCACTCGGGATGCGTTCGCATCTTGAGAGGCCATCGCCGACGCCAGTGAACACCCAGGCATTGGCACTCATGCTGGGCGACTAGCGACGTGCGAGGGGACGAGCTCCTCCAGCATAGGGTCGACCCACGCAAGAGTCCCCGTATTCGCGCATCGCTCCAACGCCGACGGATCTGGCTCAGGGAAGCAGAGTGTTGCAGCACTAGTTGTAGCAGCGTTGTCCGTGTAGCTGGCAGGTGCGCCCAAGCTGATGTCCACCATCGGCTGAATTTGGCGCCGCCATCATCCTGGTCAAGTTCCACCGGTGCCCCCCATGGCACCCTGCACGGCCCCATTGGAGCCACCGTACGGAGCGTGCTGGGAGGCCCGTGGGTTGCCGTCGTGGGCGGAGTGGCGTGACCGGTCATCACCCTTCTTCGCCGATGTCGTAGTATGCCTGGACCGCTTGCATTCCCTAGCGAGGAGGCGAAACTCGTGGCAGCGCAGACAACGCCCTAGCAACCGGCATGGCACTACTCGATGTGAGTAGGAAAGACAGTTGAAACATATGCCGTGAAGCTTCGCGGGGATCTTCCGGGTCTGTGGAAGCTGCTTCTCAGCCGAGGCAGCCACCTATCGCGTCTCCTGCAAGTGGAGGATCTCCCGCCACCCATCGACGTCGGGGGCGGAAACCCACCCGTGAGGACCGAGGCGTTGGCGGGCGGAGACGCGGCCATCCACAGGTCGAGCAGGCAGGCCATGTACCAACTGGGGGCATGGCCGGCTGCGCTTCCTCCGTCTTCACCTAGGCCCTTCTAGTCCCGCGCCCGTTCTGCCACGGCCTAGAACCTTGGCCAAACGATTTTGGCCACGCGGCGAGGAAGCAACTACCGGCTTGGCCGGCCGACGAGCAGCATCCAGGTAGGTTGCTAGGGGTCGTTATCGGAGTCCTTGCCGTCATCGTCTTCGTCCTTGTCGGATACCAGAAAATTGGGTACCCCAAGCAAAGATCGAAAAACTGCTTAGACCCTAAGAACACAACCAACGGAATAAACAAATGAGGTCTCGGCCGAAATCTCCGATTCGCCTGAGACCCCGTCGCCGAGCCCCAGCGGAAGCAAACGATTCTCCGACTCGCCCGAGACCGCCTCGCCGAGGCCCCCTCGTCGAGGCCCCCTCGCCCGGGGCCTCGGAAGAAGTGCCGATTCTTCGATTCGCGCGAGGCCGGCTCGGCACCAGCCCTGTGACCGCCTCGTCGACCAAACTGCTCTGACCGAACGTCACATCCAGTTTAGGCACTCTTATGTACTCCTGGTTTCCTCCCTGCGGCTATAAAAGGAGACAGCCAGGACCGTTTCTGAGGACGGATAGGGTCACGAATACTCGCACGAACAACACGCCTCATTCCGTAATTCATATCACCTCCCCTCACAGAGACCTGGGACGAACTCCCTCTCTCGTCTAGCTTGTAACCCCCTACTACGAGCACCCCGGTGCAAGGAATATAAGAACATCTTCTCAGACTGGACGTAGGGCATTCATTGCTCGAACCAGTATAAACCTTGTGTCTCTTTGCATCACCATCCGAAATTGGGAGCACGCAGCACAAATTTACTAGTCGGTCAAGGACCCCCGGTTCCGAAACACCGACAGTCCTCATCTACCCACCGACGATGCTTTGTGCGTCCTCCCAGGGCGCCACCTGGGTAAAACGGAGCCGTCGCCGATGAGAGGGTGGGAGGGCTTCGGGTGTCCGGCGTCGCCATGGCAGGCCCAAAAGGTGCGGACTTGGGACCATATAGCGGCATGGAGTGGTGGTAGTCGTCGGCGGTAGCGCTCGCTGCGCTGTCCGGTTGGCGGGGCGCCCAGGCCCCGAGTTGGGTGGTCGCCTCTGCTGTAGGAGCCGGCCCCAGCGGTGGAGAGGGCGTCGGCGCGCTGGAGGAGGAGGACTAGGGCGGCGACACGCTGGAGGAGGGCTTGGATGGCTGCGTAGACTGCGTCGTGTGCTCCACATCATCGGTGGACGCCGCGGGCTGGAGCACCGGATGGGCGGTGGGGGCTCGCGGGCTGCCAGATCTGACCTCGGCGGATGACAGGGCCACCGCGACGGCGGCTCCCAGCTCCAGCGGTTGAGGGCTGGCGAAGGGGTCCGCCACAGGCAGCAGAGCCGCGAGCATGGCGCCCCCGCGCGCGGGCGAGGAGGAGAGGAGGGAAGGGATGGAGGGAGGGGATCGGAGGAGGACGCGGTGGGGCGCTGATGCCAGAGCGGCGGCCGGGAGGGATTCAGAGGCGGGGTCGGGGTTAGGGACGTTCCTGAGTCACCTTCAGATCTCAGTTCAGGTTAACATTCGTAGTGCCGAACTATAATTGACTAATGGAGGGTGTTTTCTGCAACTGGTCTAGTCTAACATCGCTACCCGTGCAGCGAAGGTGGTCCACTCCATCGCTCATCCCTTGCGGCTGCAGACCTGCAAGCCCTCCTTCCATTGACTCTCTTTTCCCCCTTCTCCCCTACTGCGAACAAGGGAGTCCCTCTCCAGATCCACCAACAAATGGAGGGAGTAATGCTCATAATAAAACAAATGGAGGGAGTAGAATTGCCTATCTCTGTAGCGAAAATGACGGCGGCATCTGCAATCTCGTTGGCGGACCAAGCCTATGGCTTGGGTGCTATCACGGATGCTCAACGGCAGATGCTGTTGGGGGGACTCCGAAACATCCAAGCAGATCTCGAACGAACTGAGCGTCGGCTTATCAAGGGGGACCTCCCTTTCAATTGTGACTTATCTGGGGAAGTTAGTGAGGAAATCTGGTTGTTAAGGGACGCTACTGATTGGATGGAAGACGCCATTGACGAAATCTACTACCACAGGTTGGAGCAAGAGGTTGGTAATCCCATCTCCATGTTCGTCAAAAGAAAGTTTGTCAACAAGATTGCACGGTTTGGTATTCCGTCGAGTAGCCTGAAAAAGCTGAGGGAGATGGCGGCTCTCTTCTTACTACAGCTTCAGGAATACCGACTTCAGTACGTAGGAACTCTGTTAAGACGTATTTATGATGCTCCTGCCGTCAATGAGCGATACCCCAGTTGGCAAGCAACTGGAGGTGGTTCTTTTGGTCGGGACGGGGCAAAAGAAAAAATAGTGCAGTCGCTGATGGAGGATATAGCTGAAGACAACCCTGTTTCTGTTTATGCAGTGGTAGGGATGGCTGGAATGGGGAAAACAACACTTGCTAATATCATAAGTCGAGATCCAAGAGTGTCCAAAAACTTTCAAGCTGTGGTGTGGGTGACCGTGTCTGCTGATTTTAATACAGAAGAAATCACAAGAGTTATACTGGAATCAATTACCGGTAGACCACCTGCATACTCTGGTATTAACCTTCTGCAGAGTTCTCTTACTGATACTCTCAGATATAGCAAGGTTTTGCTAATTCTAGATGATGTCTGGGAAGATAATAGTCTTGAAAAGTGGCAAACTTTATTGGCTCCTCTAACGGTCTGCAAGAAAGGAAGCTGGATCCTGCTGACAACCCGGATGCAATCAGTCGTGGATATGGCAGCTGCTGCTATGGGAACTCAAGTTCAATATCTGAAACTGGATGACTTGGATGAAGATGACAGTCTCATGCTCCTAAAAAGCCGACTGCCTTCTCAGATTGATTCTGAATATTTTAGTAATCTTATGCTGATAGCTGAACAGATATTGAAAAAGATTGGTGGATGCCCTCTAGTAATCATTTTTGTTGCTTCATGGTTGGGGGCACATATGGAGACCCATGATTGGATTACAGTATCGCAGATAGGCTGGCAGCACATTACAGAGAAGGACATCATTATTAGATCTCTGAGATTGAGTTATGATTGTCTGTCTGCAGAACTGCAAGCTTGTTTTAGATATTGTAGTTTATTTCCTAAAGGATACAAGGTTAGCAAGGTAGAACTGTCAAAAATGTGGGCTGCTTCTATATTGATACCTTTTAGCTCATTGAAGCAAAAGAATATTGGCCTACACAAAACAAAACATGCTGACTTATTGAGCTCAGAGGTTGTGGGGGAAGAATACTTTGATGCATTAGTGAGAAAATCGTTCTTTATCCATATGTTAGAAACAGAACCTTCTAGCGGAGATCAGAAAGAATATTACATTTTGCATAATTTAATGCATGATTTGGCAGAACTCGTCTCTCATGGTGAATGTGTAAGAGTGGATAGTGGTAATTTGCATAACATCAGCTATAAAACACGACACCTGTCTATTGCACATTTCAGCAATTTAGTGGCGATGTGCAATCATCAAGAGATACTTTCTTCTCGTTATGACGAAAATCCTCTATATTTGCGGACTCTTATCATACAATCTGAGTTTGCTATTGACAAAGAGGCTGAAATTTTCCTTGGGAAGTTCCTGAAGAGTTCTAGACACTTGCGTCTACTGTACTTGGGTGTTCCATCACTATTTCATGCACTTGATAGTGTTCCCAGTTTAATTCATCTCCGTTATCTCTTTTTATTTTCATGTGACGAGTCTCATCTTCACAAACTCTTTGGATTGTATCACTTGCAAGTGTTCAAGCTTGAGTACTTCACAGGAAAAGAGGCAAACTGCACTGCTATACATAACTTACGTTTTTTGCGCTGTCTCCATGTTCCTGACAATGTGTCATCTTATATCCATCAAATTGGGAGGTTGACCTCACTTCAGGAGTTACATGTTTTCGAGGTAGTGGAAAAGGATGGTCAGAGATTGAGTTCATTGGGGAGTTTAAAAAGCTTGTGCCAACTCAGCCTAAGAAATCTTCAAAATGTCTCGAGTTGTAAAGAAGCTTTGGAGATCAAATTGAAGGACAAACATCAGATGCAGTATTTGTCACTGGTGTGGAACAAGCACTTGAAGGAACCAGTGAATCGAGATGATCAATTATTGATGATCTTGAACCAAACGAAGAAATTCAGCAGTTACACATTCATGGTTACAACGGAGTCAAACTTCCATTTTGGATTGAGAACTCGTTGCCCATACACTTGGTGTCACTTGAGCTTGAATACTGCATGAACTGGAAGAGCCTGCCCTCTCTTCGAGAGCTTAATTCACTTAAGTATTTGATTTTGGAGAACCTTTTTCAGTTAGAATACATTGGGTACATTGCCCGAGCTGCATCTTGAGGCTGTCGAGTCAGATAATGCTTGGCTGCCTCCATTTCTCAGTACTCTCATTATTCGATGGTGCCCAAAGCTGAGGGAACTTCCTGCTATACCATGTTCCCTTGAGCTACTAGTTATAAAGCATGTTCAGCTTGCATTTCTGCCAAGAATACAGCAGAGATATACTCTTGCCAGGGATTCAGCATCAGTAAAATCTCAGCTTACTTTTTTGCACATAGAAAGTTGTGCACGTTTGACTTCTCTGGATGAAGGTCTTTTAGATCAGCAGGAACAACTTCAGTCTCTTACAAGATTGGTTGTAAGGCATTGTGAAAGGCTACGGCATCTGCCAAAGACAGGTTTCACAGTATTAAATCACCTGAATTCCCTTGAGATAGTTGCATGTCCAATACTAAGGGATGTGAAGACCAAAGACAGTCTGCTGCCTGCGTCACTCAAGAACTTGGATTTGAACCCTTGCGGTGATATTGAAGCATCAACTCTCATGTCATTGCAGAACCTTACTGCTCTCAGAAGGCTAACATTGTTCAACTGCACTAATATAGATAAACTTCCATCAGTTGAAGTGTTTGGGACTCTGAACAATCTCAATGATATGTCACTAGCTAGATGCAAAAACTTGTTATCCTTGGGTGGGCTTGGATCCGTTGCCTCCCTAAGAGTGCTATCAATCGTATGCTGTAATAAGCTGAGTTATTCACAGTTGCCACAGGATGGCTGCTCCTTTAAGCTACAGAAGCTCATAATCGACTGGCAAGCTCTATTATCAGTGGAGCCACTAAGGAGCCTCAGACACACCAAGGAGCTTCAAATTGGTGATGATTATGAAATGGAGTCACTGCCTGGGGAGTGGTTGCTCCAGAATGCTGCTTCCTTATGTTCCATTCAAATAGGAGTTGTCCAGTCTCTTTGCTCACTGCCAAATGAGATAGAAAAGCTTGAGTTGTTACAGAGTTTGTGCATAGAAAGTGCCCCTCAGATTCAGTCACTCCCTCAACTGCCTGCCTCACTTAGCAAGCTGACAATCCGGGGCTGTGGCCCGAATTTTTTGAAACGTCATGAAATGGATGGTGAAGATTGGGACAAGATTGCTAACATTGCTAATGTGGATATCAAACCCTACTCTGAAGGTGTGCTTTTATTTCTCCTATCCTTTTCAATTTGTTATGTGGCAATTGTGTGATCATGTAGATATTTGTCTCTAAACCATCTGTAAGTGTGATAGTTTTGGATTATGGTTCTGGAAAAAGCTGATTCTGGACAGTTCATTTATGTGGATGGTGTGTACAAGATCAAATTATGGATTACTAGAGGTAGGTTGGTTGTTTCAGCTTTTGGGCAGAAGATGGAACAAAAAGGCCTAGAAGTTTACCTGATGGAGCATCATCTACCAAAACCATTAATGAGCTAAAAGAAAAGGCCGAAACATTTCTTTCAAAAAAAAAGGCCGAAACAAAAAGGCCCAAAGAATTAATTGATGAACTCCATCCTCATAAAAACCGTTAGTTCATTGCATTGTACAATAGCACTAGTAATTTGGTATGCTATGATGCATTGGTCCTGATTTATTGCAATAATAAGATGAATTTGATCATATATTTTAAGTATATAACAGCCCCATCTGAAATTTTGTATTGTATCAGAGTTTCAGTTTTTCCTGCTATAAAATTTTCATAGAGAATAAAATACTTGTCCACCCAGTTCTGAATTGAAGAATATTCATTCTGAAGATGTTTTTCTCTGCAGAATTTTGGGTTCCCATTTCTGGCTATAGATTTTTATAACTTACACTCCAAAGATCCTTAACATACTATTACTCAAGCAGGCACGGGCTACAGTGATGATCAGGTTCAAGATTTTATCAACGGCAACAGTAATCGTCAGGTTATCTTGATAGACTGAATGAGGCACTGATGATGACTGATGAGTGGTGAAGTATCTATTCCGTACTTTATTCGGGAGGCTGGAATAATATGAGCTTTTAGAATTTAGGCCTTGTTTAGATTGCAAATTTTTGCAACCTGGATACTGTAGCACGTTTCGTTTGTATTTGACAAACTTTGTCCGATCATGGACTAACTAGGCTCAAAAGATCCATCTTGTAATTTACAATCAAACTGTATAATTAGTTATTTTTTTATCTACATTTAATGCTCCATGCATGCGTCTAAAAATTGATGTGATGGAGAGATAGTGAAAAAACTTGGAATTTGGAGGTGGTCTAAACAAGGCCTTAGATAATATATACTTGCCAAATGAAACTGCCTAATGAATGTTCTGTGTTGGCCGCTGTTTTGTACCAATGGTGGATCAGTAATTCCTCAGATGATAAAAGATTCGATCATCAAATTAGTTATGCAATACTTCGGTTTGGCCTGACACTTCGTACGGAGATTTCGGTGCCAGTTCTTTTCCCTGTTGTCCTCTTTGAACAAGTAGCCAGTTTTCTTTTCCTCTCTTTTTACCATAACTGCAGTGCTATGCCGATTCCCATTGATCAGGGTGTGGATGTGTGATGTTCCCTGGCATTTGGTACAAAAAGTGATTCGAGGAAAGCACCCAAGTATGATGCAATCTTTTTCTTAAAAATGGAGCACTCTAGCAACTAGACGACGCGTTGAAGCCAGCAGCTGGCCTAATCTTGTAAGAGCAAGGATAATAATACAGCTAGTTGCTGCCTGTAAAAATCAGTTATAAGCTTACAACCCGCTTCTCTTTTCTATCATCTCTTCTCTCTCCCCCATCTCAGCATTCAGTTTGCTTTTTGTTGTTATACTTGCGGATCACATGGCGTCGCTGGCACACGTGGCCACGTACCCCAGACGTTTATAGCGAATGAAAGCACACGTGCATATGAATGTCTACGTTCGCCGGCTATCTAGAAATTCCTAACATTTTAGGACAGTTGAAACATTTGTAACTATTAAATAACTGTTTCAATCTTTACACTATACTTTTTTAGCTCAATTTCATCCGTCAACTATACGTAGATGTCTCGGTGTCCTCAAACTTTTCTAGAAGTGATAGCATGATATTTCACCTAGGACGAGGAATAAAGTTAAACGGAAAAGAAAATTTTGAGGACACTGAAACACTTACGTTGGTAGTCGACGGATGAAATTGAGCTATAAAAGCAAAGTGTAATGACTGAAATAGTCATTTAATTATAGTATAAATGTTTTAACTGTCCTAAAATGTTAGGAATTTCTAGATAGCCAGAGTACGAGTCATCACCGACTTGCAAAAGTAGATATTCATATGCATGCATGCTTTCACCCTGTAAACACATGTATACCATACCTATATGAGCTGCTCCGATTGATCTTGAAATTAAACAGTCTTTACATAGGCATACCACAGAAAGAATTAACTCTTAAAATAAATCCATGAAAAATATAAACATCCACAAAACTATAAACATCCGTATAAGTTGAGGACTTAAGGACGTAGTCAGTTTTGGTACTTACTTACATCGGTCGCTCCCGAGTCGGCCCGTTAGGGTTCCGCCGCCCTGGTGCTCCCCACGGCGCCGCCGCCGCAGCTCCGGCGCCGGTGGTCCCCACCCTCTCCCCCTCACCCTCCCGTTCCCCCATTCTTCCACCCCCGGGCCTCTCCATCGGTGCGCCACGGCCGGCCATGGCGGGCCTGCCGCGCGGGCGGCGGCCATGACGGGCGACGCCGCCCCAACAGCACCGGCGTCGGAGTCCGCGACCCCACCTCCTCCTCCGCCGCGCTCCTCCCTACCTCAACTGGAGCGCTTGGCGCAGCCGCCTGCCGGCGCGCGGGCTACGCCGCTGCAGTGCACCCCCGGTGGCGGCGGGTTGTTCGGGGCACGGCATACCACTGGGTCGTTGCTCCTGGGATCCTACGGTTCTCCGCCGAAGCCGGAGCCAGCATCCACCACGGGGACGGCATCCTATCGCTCCACTACGGCTGCCTCTCCGGCTCCGGCAGCCACCCTGCACACCAACGCCGGTTCCGCCTCTGGTAAGGCCCCTCTCTCCCCTGACGCCGCCCCTTCTTCCCCTCCGCCGGCAGGTCCAAATCCATGCGGTGGGATGAGATCTCCCTCACAGACTTTGACGATGAGGACGAGCGCTCCCCCTCCCCCTACATCGAGGTTGCTCGTCGGGCGTTGGCGCAGCCCGCATCGGTGGGCGCGCCTCCCACAGTCGACGCCGCGCCAGGTCCCAGCGAGGTCGCCGAGGCCAACCCAGGCATGGCGGCTGACTGGACGGCCCGGGGTCGCCGTACCCGGCGTGGGCGTCGTCAACCAAGGCGTCGACCAAGGCGCGCGAGGCCAGAGGCCGGTCGCGGGACTCGTCGCTTCATTCCGGCGGCGGAGACCCGGCCTGTGGAGCGGATTCCGGTGCACCAGCGGCTAGGTCATCGCCGCAGGGCCACTGCACCTGACGCAGATGGGCCACCACGTCACGCCCAGCGCCCGGCCCGCCCCACCGTCTCCTCGTCGCACCCTCCGCGCATGGCATCTCCGGCGGATGCGGATGGGTTCCATCCGATCGAGAGCAGGCGCCCCTGGAGGCGGCAACAACGCCGCGCTCCGGCGGTCTCGCGCCCGGTGCCGTCGGAGTTGGTGGGCTCTGCTTCAACTGCCTGGCGGCGGATCACGTCGCGGCGCGTTGTACCTTCCCGTCACGCTGCTTGCTGTGTCGCTGCACAGGCCACCGGGCCAGGAACTGCAAGCGCCCGCGTTCTCCTAACCATGGGCGTGTCGGTGGATGGCCGCGCCGCCATCGATTCGTCGACAATGGCACCGCCGGCGACGAGGCTGTGCCTGACACGTCGCTCGGCCCAGGACGGGGCCCAACATTCCAGTACGCGCCCTGCCTCATCGTGGGTGCCCAATCCAGACGGGGGCCGACGCACGCGTCACCTGCGCTGTCGCCTACCGGGAGGCTGCTGCGCCAACAACCAGCACTGCCATTCGAATTTCAAATTCAGTCCAGTCGCGTCGTGATTCCGCCCAGGCTGGACCCGGTGCTTTTGTGCTCTGAGTTGCAACGGCTTCAGGCACTGCGTCCTCAGCCAACTCCCCGGCGACTGCTTTTTGAGCCGGAGTTCGCGGTGGCAAAAGCAGCAGAGTCCGGCCAAACAATGGCGACGTGGGTGGCCCAGGACCATGACTCTTCGTCCTGGATGCCGGTCCTGTGCAACGGACGGCTCTCCGCCGGCGCTCCAGCAATGCAGACAGTTGGCGTGGGGAATCCTTCTCCGAGCTGCGCGCGCTCCTTGTCGTGGGTCAGCCTGCGCACGAAAAACCGAGAATCGGACCGAACTAAGGTCTTGTTTAGAAGCCAAAAATGTTGGCAAAATGGTACTGTAGCAGTTTCGTTGTTATTTGGTAATTAGTGTCTAATCATAGTCTAATTAGGTTTAAAAGATTCGTCTCGTGGATTTCGTCTAAACTGTGTAATTAGTTTTATTTTTTATTTATATTTAATGCTTTATGTATGCGTCCAAAGATTCGATGTGACGGGAAATCTTAAAAAATTTTATAAAATTTTTTGCAACTAAACTAGACCTAACCGAAAAACCGAAATATTCGGTCTCCGGTTCAGTTCCAGGTTTTCAAGAACCGAAAATATTACGATTAATTCGGTTCCAGCACTCGCTTAATAGAATTAACCTGAAATAACCGAACTAAACTATTTGACCTCTTGTTTTTTTACTGCAGGCTTGAATATTGCTCTATGCTTGAATATTTGAGAGAACAATAATATATATATGTGTTGTACTGTTGTTTTATGCTTAATTATTGTTTAAATTGTCCCTTTTGACTGCATGAAAATCAGGCAAAATACTGTCGAAATTTGCAATTGAATGTGTTGTTTCTTGGTTCCTGAAAAATTCGGTGTATCGGTTAGAACCGAAACCGAACCAAATTAACCGAAACCGAAATTCCTCGGTTCCGCATTTTTAAAGTAACCGAACGGTCCCTTCTTCTCAGGCAACCGAATTAGCTGAAGAACCGAAGAACCGAACCGATCGGTTTCGGTTAACCAAACGACCAGACTGAGTCGTGGGGTGTCTCGCCTAGCGACTTTGTGGTCAAGAATTTTTTTTATTTTTAACACTTTTTTAAACTAATTTTAAATCTAACACTATTTTTTTTCAAAACTAACACTTTTGGCCACGTCTATTTCTCTGGCGCGGCAAAACGTCTGGGCCGCGCCATGCATGATGGTGCAGCGAGAGGGATGATGTGGCGACGATCGGGGCGCTGACCGGTAACGTGGCAGAGTCTGCTGCGCCATAGCCCACGACGCGGCACTGACGCGCCAAGGCCCACGGCGCATCAGGACCTGGACGCAGACAGAAGCCGACCAACCTCAATTGCAAATGAACGGGAGCTACTGTCGGTGCTGTAAACAACTACAAGTGCTGTCGGGACGCATTGAAACGAATATGAAGCAAATAAATAAAGTCCGTGCGCAAGTTGATAAGTTACCACATAACATTTTCATTGGTTCATGAGTCTGCAAGTTTCCGACGATAATATTCGTTCGACATAACCAAGTCCCAGGAGTGTAAGGATCCCTCGGACGCTTCTGTCTCTTCGGATTTGTAGGCAACATATTGGGAGTGTAGCCAACGTTGGTATGGTCGCGTTGCCGGTGGGTATGGCTCGTACCCTACAAGTATATGATATGCATGATTACTTATAATCTTTATGATCGTTAGTTCATGGAGCCTACGTATTTAAAGACACTACCTTTGTTACTACCTGTGAGGTTCCTTGGGTACCAAGCGGGACACCACCTAGCTAAGACATGCCGATCTCGTCCTGTTGCCAAGGGTCCCACTGGTGGTGCTGTATGCGGAAGCCTAGGGGGTCGTCGTCGTCGTCATCGTCGTCCTCGTTTGCAGGGTCCTTCCCAGCGCTATAATGTGGTGGTGTACGCACAGCGGAAGCGGCACCTGTCATTGGCTGAAGCCACCGCAGGTACTCGTCGAAGGTGTGCTGGTCGTGTGGGGGACCCGCATCGACCGGCTGCCGGTCCCTGGTCTACCACAACTAGATGTACGCGTTGTGTGTCACGCGTCAATCCTAGGTCGTGTACCTCTTCCTGCGGTCATACCTGCAACAAAACGATTATTAGTTATACCATACACACCTCTGAATTGTAGCTTTGTTATTAATCGATAACGTACCCGTGCAATTCTTTGTTGGTGGAGTAAAGCGATGGTGGGTAGCCTGTCATTCTTCCAAACTGTCTACAAACCCTGATGGGCAAGTGAATCTCGACCACGTGGAAGAAAATAAGAGGGATGTTGTAGCGATACTCGTCTGACTCATCTCTAGTGACAGGACTCAGATAGTCTTGGAGCTCTGGAGCATCCCAAGGATACCAATGCAAATGAACATTTTGTAATTGAGTTATGTTGTGATATAGTGTACATCGAACAAGACATATGTATGATAGTAAAGAGAGCGTAACCTGGTGTTGTGTTGGGACGTCGAGACAGTCCGTGTACTCCGTATACTTGCATCTCGCATTCCCTCTAACTAACTCTGCTTGTGTCCAGATATACAGAGCTGTAGATAGTGTATCCTGCCTGTTCTAATGTTGCATTGAACACGATAATGAATTAGCCATTAATAATTTCATCATATGTAACTGCCTCGAAGAATATAGTGAACCGAAGTACTTATAGGGAAACCAGTAACAAGGGGCCTCTTAACGGGCCATCGTTCCCAACACCAAACCTGGAGTAGATAGGAGCAACCCCCAAGGTTCGCATACCCTGAGGTGCGACGGCAGGCAACGCATAGCTGTCGATACGTCCATTCTAGGACTGCGCTGCCCTAGCTGTACGCCGCTATGTTATCCCACGGCTGACGTAGTATGTCAAGAAAGATCCAGCTGATGGTGTTGCCCGAGGCGTCTAGAAATAGAAAAGCACCAAGAAAGTGCTAGAGCCACACTCTAGCGAACCTGTCGATCCGAGCCTCATCAGCCTGTGGGTCCAAGTAATCAAAGCGCTCTGTGATCCACGACGACGAAACACCAAAACTTTTCCTAAAATTCAACAAGGAAAATGAGATCTGATGGCTGCAGGAAAGCAATGTAAGTATTAAATAGGTTCGAATTGCTCACTTATTTTTCTTGGAAACCTCATCGTCCGGTGGAAGAAAGCCAGTGAACTGAGCCACCAGCTCCCTCCAGTGATCGTTGTCAACTATACCTGCCACTGGAAGTTTCTCCAACCGAAGGCCAAAGATAGCCTTCATGTCCTGCATGGTCAAGGTCATCTCGCCGCAAGGTAGGTGAAAGTGGGTCTCAGGCCTCCACCTATTATAAGAATAGAACGACTGTTAGTTATCTCAAATTTGTTATAAGAATGTTTACGTACAATGAAGGCACTTGCACCTGTCTACAACTGCAGTAAGTAGTGCTGGGTCAAGGGGTGGAAAGACTGTAGTTGACACCATGGACAAGCTCGAGGAAGCCGGCACGCCGTATGTACGGCGCGTAATGCTCGTCCCACTAGTGCGCCCTGTTGTGCGTGCGGGGCGGGCCTCAAAGGAGGCAAGGGCACCTCTGCGTCGGTGTCAGTCAAGAAGTGTGCTCCGTGTGGGTCATCGTACTCCACCTCAAGTAGGGGGTACAACTGGTGCTGCATGGGAGAGGCCATCCTGTTATA